ATCAGGAGGGTGAAGTGATGTGTAGCAGACTGAGCAGTGGTTGTTCAGTGTGACATCGCAGCTCCACCAACTTTACTCACTCTTTTGAGGCCGTACAGGTTGTTATACAGCGTCCTGAAACTCTTCCTTGTGTACTTGCAGCGGTACGCTCCACCCATCAGGAACTCCAGGACCAGTCCAATATCGATCAGTGTGATCTGGTAATCTGGAGGAAGATTCCCCTGAAACACATGTCATTGGATAATGCATCTTTTGTTCAGTCCTTCCTCATATTTTCTTTGATTTGCTAGTTTTCTTTCTGCAGATGCAGTGTAGAAGAGCAGATTTCCTTCAGTGAAGGTCGTGAACATATTTTCTATGATGTGCAGCTGCGGTTCTGCCCTGGTACCTTCTGGGGACAAGCAGCCTGAGCTCAAAGCATATAGTGCAGTTTAAATATTTCATGATTCATGTGAATCCAGAGCACGGTACCCACCTTTTTGACATCTCGGACCAAAAAGTGCAGAGTGTTGGCTGGTCCCAGTTTCTGCAGAAACCAACCACAAAACAAGGTGATGCAAATAAAAACAGTGGTGGCTTCTCTGCTTAATACAATTGATACAAATTAACAGATTCACTTAGAGACCAGAGGACGTGATGAGCGGGATGCACGCAGACAGCAGCAGAGAGCTGTTTTGTAATCTGACAATAATGTGGCTAAACCATTGTTTTAAGAGCTTTTATGTCTGTGGATCAGAGCTAGATTAGAGACAGCAGCAGTGATATAACAGAAGAAGGACATTAAGCTGCAGAGCAACGTGTCAGCGAGAGTAAAGTGGTTAGAGCGGAGCTTTTGTTTTGTTAACAGATGTCCAAATTTTATTGAGATCAAACAAGCACGAAGGTATTATATTACAAGGGAAGAGTAACAAATGGTGAAGTACCAAGAAAGAGGAGCATTTTCTGCCTGATGTATATGAGCAGTGTCCCTGAGAAAATTAAGATTTTTCAATGCATCATATAAAACCAAAACTTTTTTTAAAAGTTTCTGCTGATTCAAACAGTGCAGTTTAATGTGACTCTCATATTCAACAAACCAGCCCTCCCATCACGTTCATCAGTTCAGTGCTGACATACCATTTATTTGGATTGTGTAGCATCAGTGCTTGCTTGTTCACCAGTCTATTCTACTTTGGTACACAGACTTTGTCTTTAATGCAGAACTGTGATGGTTGCTCCACATCCCCACTCTACTAAAACCCCCCAATGATTGATAATTAATGATTCCAGTAACCATTTATCATCGTTTCATTTTCACCCAGACCCATTCTGTGTTCTTTGGTTCAAAGACAAGGAAATTTCAAAGTGGCCCAAGACTTGTGAGTGGCACAGTACACAAAAATATATAACTTATAGTGTATTACAGGATCAGGACATGGACAAGCTTTTTGTCTTTCTATGCAAGTTTAACTTTAATTTGTCTTTCTGAGGATTTCTGAGAATTCCCCATTTGAAGCTTTGCACTGGGAAAAACATTTGAAAGGTGACATAACATGTATTACCAGCAGGGTGTGCTCAAGCTCCACTGCAGCTCAGTTCAATGCTCTTCCAGCCCCCATTGAAGATAAAATAAATGGTAAATGGCCTGTATTTATATAGCGCCTTGCTAGTCCCTAAGGACCCCAAAGCGCTTTACATATCCAGTCATCCACCCATTCACACACACACATTCACACACTGGTGATGGCAAGCTACATTGTAGCCACAGCCACCCCTGACAGAGGCGAGTGACTGGCGGTTGTCAGGGTCTCTCTGACTTCCTGAAATGGACCTCTGTACTGTGTTGTTGGTGCTGCTTTAATCAAACCTGATAAAACTATTGTTAGCTGTGCAGACATTTTTATGAACAGAATTCCTAAAATGTTTTCTTGCAAACCAAGTTACCTTACAGTCTTATTGACCATGTGATCACATCCAGCTCATTAAAATGGAAAATGCAAATTTGAGGATTTAAAATAAGTTATTAAACAAGTAAATGACATGACTGTGGCTATACAGACTTATAGTTTAAGCTAGCTTGTTGCTTGGCTATGAACCCACATGCATCATGAGGGCAGAAAATCATTAAAATGCTCAAAAGATCCGTTGCACAGAATTGTGGAAACTCAAGTTTGTGTTACTGAGATTTTAGCAAAGAACTAGAGCTAGTCACTGTGGGAGCAAATAACATACTTCAAAGTTTGAAAAGTGTTTTGCTGTCCACTCTAAAATATAGCCTACATAAGGAAAGTTCTCCTACCTGACACTCCAGTTTATCCAAAAGTTGCTGCAGCTTATTGATCTGAGAACACCAGTTCTCTCCATCTTCCATGTTGACACCTGGAAAAACACAGTGCTAAATCATCAGATTGGTTTTTGAGTAAGTGCATAGCTACATACAGTAACATATTTATCAAAAACAGATTTGGATGGTCTGTTTTGTACTATAAAATTGGGTTAGAATAGAGAATTCAACATTCTTTCTGTGTTCAAGCCTTTCATTCCTATAGGAGAAAGACATCTTGTCAAAGCAAAAATAAAGCACATTAAGGCAAGGTTGTTGTAAATTTGGCACCTCATAAATAAAATTGAATAGAAATTCAAAAGGATGAAGGATTCAGGATGCAAAAACATTTTAAAGAAGGCATAATACACCCCTGACATTGAAAATACTGTATCTGAAAACAGAGTAAAGGCTTGCTGTTTATTTTAAATCTCATTCTGTCCTTTCAGAATCACAAGTTTAGTCTATCAATAATAGTGAATAAGAAACAAATGAGGGCAAACCTAAATCGTTTACCTCTAGAATTTGTTAATATTATCTTGGTCGGTGAAAACTTGAGGGAATACTCACTGTCTGCACTTATTATGCATAACACAAACGGCAGTAATGAGGATAATACTTGTCTACAACACAGAGCACAATGTTCCTCAGGTACAAACGATACAAAGTGCACCTCTTTATTGTTAAACTTTTGTAAAAACTATAACATTTATACTGTTGCTAAATTACTGTACTCTGGCAGAGTTAGCAGATTTCAAGATAACCTTGATGTATTTACA